ACCACTTTGAATCGCCCTCACTTCCAAACATTTTACACTTCGTTTTCCTCTTCAATATCTTAGTATTTATGCTCTCGTTAGGATATTTTGTTACTATTCTCCTTTTGAATTATATATATATATATATATATTTGTTAATATGTTTGTTATATTTAGTTGATGTTTTTGTCATGTAATATTGAAAATATCGTTAATATTGTAAACTAATMTTAAATATAAATGAAATCTTATAATTACCGATGTGATATTTGTTGGGAATGAGAAAGAAAAAATAAGTAATATCATTTTATTATTACTTAATTTTATCATTTTAATGAAAACGTTTTAGTTATGTTTTAATTAATTATTTAARCRTTACTAAATTAGTTGTTTTGTAACGTTTTAATTAATTAATTTAGATAAAATGTTTTCATTTGTTTTCTTTTGAAACAAATTTAGAGCTTCTTCGATTTCATTCAACTCYGACGAATGCACGCTTGAGTTTGAAGTTCTGTTAACCTTGGAAGCAACCGACARGTATATGATGTAGTACTATGGTCGTGTCGAAATTGCTTTCAAAGTTGTGACTCATCCCATAGCGCAACGATTTTTACGTCTAAAATTCTTCTCTTTTCATCTAAATTCCTCCCTCTATTCCAACAATATTTAGTTTGCAATGACATATATATCCATCGTTGCTGTACTAGCTATCAGAATGAAAATAGATGTAGTTTAATGGTTAAGTTATAGATCTCGTGGAGATTTCAATATAGATTTTTTTAATACAGGATTTGAATTTTGAATATAGGTATTCTTAGAATAGCGGCAGAGATTGATGCATTAATCTTCTCAAGTTGAAAACTATCTTGATCGGATTGTATGTGATTAATTAATGGATGATGTGAAATTGTTAGTGAATTGAATATATCAAGTTATAAGAATTACCCAAACTAAAATAGCCAAGTATTAGGAATAGAAATGTTATAACAACAAATGTATAAGGATAAACTTAAAATATGTTTATAATATTATTTAACATAATATAGTTTTTTAATCGTAAAATTATAGTCGAAGGTTTGAATCCCTACTTCTTGTTAAATTTATTAAAAAAAAATAATATTTGTGGGAGTGCTTTTTAAATAAGTAATTTTAGGATAACTATTTTGATTATGTGAGTACTTTTAGTAATAAGTATCTAGCGACCAAGTCACCTTGATGTTTGATTATACATTCAAAAGCTTTCTAYGTATGTTTCTTCAAAGTACTTTTGTTGTCAAACATAAATTTAGTGGGAATGTTTTGTTGTCACGAGAAAAGTATAACGAATCATGCCAAAAGCAATCCCAAACATATCTAGATTAAGATAAAAATTTTGTTAGCGTTTCTATTTTTAACGATTAAAACTCTCTTTAGGGAGTGAAATGAATTAAAGAAGTATTCGATATAATARATAATAAAGATGAATAATCACACTTTTTTTAAGTACAATAGAATAATCACACTTTACAGTTACACTTAATAAGTGTGCTGACAATTTGCATATGTTTTTTTTTTAGAAAAATATAAATTAGAATTAGAGGTCATAAAAGTAATTGTAGAGATGTTCGGGAATGAAAATTTTTTAGTACAATAAATATGAGGGTGTGGAGATTAAGCCTCAAACTTTTAAAGAAACGAGTAAATTATCTTTAGGTTGAGCTATGTTTGTGTTGTTTGAGGAAGAAAAAGTTATGACATATTTAGTATGTAATTTAGATTTTATTTATTGTTTTTGAGTTGTGTGATCCAAATAGTGGAAATTCTCAAAACAAAATTTTAAGCGTCCATTTTATAACYATTTTGTTTCTTGTTTTGTTTTTAATTTTTAGTTTTTTAATAATAGAGTTGTTGGGTAATCTATTAAATTTTCTGTTTTTTGGTYTTTCAAAAACCATTGAAATTCTACGTAAATTTCAAAAAGAAAAAATAGCTTTCAAAAACTAATTTCTCCTTTTCAAAATCTAAATTTTTTTAATACTCAGACTTTTTTTTCTTTCTCATATTTATCGCTAACAAATATCTTTGCCACTCTAACATTTTTTYCTTCCTAAATTTCTTTCTACAAATTATTTTTCTCTCTCTAAAATTTCATATTTTGAATATTTATTATTATTTCTCTCTCCCCAAAATATTTCATCCTTACATATTTTTATTTTTTCCTAACAAATAACTCTTTAAAAATTTAATATTTTCTCGAACTTTTCTCTCTCAACAATTTCRTTTCTTTTTTTTACTTTTCTTTYTCTTCTCAATCTATTTTTCATCTCAAAATTATATCTTTTTCAATTATCTTTCACTATAATTTTTATTTATTTATTTACTCTAAAAAATATATTTCGAATCTTAGTTTTATTTTTAAATTTTTTCTCACCATAATTTTCTTTTGCTTTCTAATTTTTTTTCTTTAATGTATCTTTTCTTCTCAACTTTATTTATTTATTGTTTTCTGAAATTTGTCTCTTTTTGTCTTTAAATTTTATTTCACTAATTTACTTTTTCTAAATCTCTTTCTTTATCTCTCCAAAATTTTTCTTTAAAAATGTCTAAATATCTACATTAGGGATGACAAAAATTTCCGTAAGGTCGGGTCTCTACTCCAATAGTAAATGCATGTCTCAAATCCGTCCCAGATTCCCTTTTTTWAAATAATGAATATATATTTTATTAACATATTTACTAAATTGTGAATAAAATATGAAATATCTTTTAAAACTAATTATTTATATAGTAAATAATACTTCTAAAAATAGTTAATATATATTTATTACATTTTTTTAATTCTAAAAAAATTCTCGTGAAATATCTCCGTCCCTAAATAAACATTCTTTTTTAACCCAAAAAGAGAGTGSATCTTCACTCCCGCCACACATTATTGTCATCTATACTCTAGATAGAATTTTCTTAATAATATATATTTCTAATTTTCTAAGTTTTTAAAAATAGAAAGCTAAAAATGGTTACCAAACCTGTTTTGTTTTCTATTTTTTAAAAACAAAAAATAAAAAATAGTTATCAAACATATATGGTTTTTATTTTTTAAAAACTAAAATAGAAAATAGAAAACAATAAACCATAAACAAAAATGGTTATCAAATAGATCCAACTTCTAAGTTTGATGTTAAACTCAGTTTTTCCAAATTCTTAAATTAGATTCAGTTTTTGAATATATCAAACGCATTTTTTAAAATACGATAAAATATAACTTATTTTTTATCTAATCCGTATATTTTTTTTCTGTTTTCAAATTTTAAATTTGAGACTTTAAAAAGTAGAATTAAATTTAAAAAAGTAAAAATTTTGATAAATATAATATTCTATATTATAAATTTATTTTATTCCAATCCAAATTAAAACAGGTAAAACATAATATATTATAAATCTAATTTTCTGTAAAAAAAGAAAGAGAAAAGAAAAAAACAATTATACAAATCGAGTTACACCGAAAGAATTTTGGGAAAATTGACAAAATAAACGTTCTGTAGGTGCCTCTTCGTCAGTGCTGAGATCACATACTTTGTCAAATGACATTTCATGCCCCTCCTTACTTTTTCTTCTCTTCCAGACTTCATCTCTCTTCTCTCTCCCCTCCTCTCTCCTCCATTTCTTAAATTTGCTTGATCTTGTCCATGATTTCTACACAACACACYAGTTTTTGGCGTCTCCGCTAGGAATTCAACGAGTGGAGGTCCTGTTCGGTTGCCGTCCGCTGCTTCCATCCCGAGCTCTTGCGCCTCCCTGTGGCCTCTCCGGCGACATTGTTGAACAAGAATAATTTGCATAT